CCTTATTTGTAAAAATATCGGGTGTTTTCGGATATGCATCTCTAAAATATGCTCAAATGAGATGATAATGCTTCTAAGGTCTAAATTGATCTAAAGCTTGTATTGATGAGTGTGCAAAAAGGATGTATCTAAAGATATATCTTTGAATTCTAAAATTTGTTGTGACTTTCCACAGTGGTAGCACTACTAAAAATAACGCTTTTAACGTCCACGTGAAAGAGATGTAACCTCGACTACTGAGGCGACGTAACAAGGGGTGACATGAAAAAAAGCCACTTAACACCTCAGTTAATGAAAAACCGATGGGTAAAATTATATGATCATGGGTCCGAACCCCAACATCTACATGTTTATTATTTACAAAAACAACGCCTCATACCTCTCGATTTATCCACAAATCCAGGGGTAATATAGATTGTTTTTTAATTAAAACTCGTTATATTTTTTTACACAGAATATTGATAAAATAATTTTTTTACAAACTACAATGTTTACTCAGAATATTATATTGTATAAACAGAATATTAAAATAAAAGTTAATTAGCACATGAAGATCATATGTTAAATCTTCAAATCCTTTATATTTGGGCAAGATCAAATGTTGGGTGTGACTATATTCTAAATGGCTTTACCTCGCATGGATTTGTTTCTGATGCAAAAAAAAAAAAAGGTTGATAAAAAAAGGTTAGATAAATAAATGATTTTTGCTCAAATAAATAGTTAAGAACACAAACCTCAAACCCAAATAACTTTCTGCTCTAACATCCATCTTAGCGATCTTTTCATGGCAAATGATCTTGCAAACCCCAAAAGGTGGATGTAGATAGTTTTAAGCGCTTCATGATGCTTTATTTGCTTCTTCATATTCAGAAATATGCTTCTATAATGGAAGATTTTTATGTTTCACACAGATCACTAATGGTAGTGTAATGAGCGTTGATATCTCATGAAATGAACGACATATATTTGATCAATAGAATCACTAATGGTTTTTTATTTTTAATTTAGGTAAAAGACTTTAACCCCCATTTTAATAGAAAATCGAGATAATAACCTTTTATTTTTTTACCTATCATTGAATACAAATAATATTTACAAATAAAAAATATAATAAAAAAGAAAGGCTCTTTTGAAAAAAAAATAGAGGTAATATGTTATTTTTATTTTTAAAAAAAATAATAATGACCATCGCGCCTTGGAATTATATCACTAGAATAGTAATGATCATCTTTATTCAAACCATAACGTATCTTTTGGATTTTTAAGGAGTCATTTGAACTTCTCTGATTGTTTCATTTCCTCTTTTCCAATTTATTTATGCACTATTCAGGTCTCATTTCATTTCCAACTCTATATCTTTAAATCTAGTTTAAAAGTCTTTTTTTATTTAAAAATGTCTACAAAAATCTATAACGGAGATGAAAATCTTTTGTTCGTTATCAATGAAAAGTTTTAATGATTTCGAAGAGTTGAAAAACCAAGATTTTGATCTAATGAAAATTATTTCCAAACATAAGTTGATAGGTAACTTTGACATGTTTCATGGATCCATCTGCACTAATCTCGTAACATAGTTCTGGTTAAATCTCTCTATTAGGAAATCTGGTGAGGATGTGAAGTCAATACAGTCCAATGTATATGACTTTCCTATCACCATTACTCCATCACTTATTGCTCAAACAATAAAGTGTGAAGAGAAAGGTAGTTGTGTTGAAGAATATATATTCAACAGTGTCTTCTCAAACCACCTTCTTCTAATTTATGTCAACTACAATAACCTCGTCAGTCCTGCTATTCATTCCAATTGCAAAAATTTGACATCAAGTTTTAGTGTCAAATCTCCATCCATGAGAGAAATAATTAGAAATGCTTACTTCATATGACAAACATCTTTTGTACTTTCTTATCCACAACGTCAAAATTAATCTTTCTCTTACTATTTTTAACTTCTTAATGGAAATGGTTGTGACCTCTTGCGAGGAAATAACTTTCCTTATACCATATAAAAGAGTTCTTTCTGAATTTTTCTCTCATTTTGGAATAGTTAAAAGGGTAAAAAGAGTAGGATTAACTATTGAAGTTGAGTGGAGTCAGAAGTTTAAATATGTCTAATAATTAGTTGTTAGTATGCTTCTCTGATTATCAACGAAAGAATTTGTTTTATCTTTTCGTTAACTATTGAAGTTGAGTGTAATCTTTTATATTGATAACAAAAAATTTGTGTTTTACTAATTAACTTAGAGAAAAATGAAGAAAAAAAATTAACAAAGAAAAAATGGAATCTAGAAAGGCGCCAAGTGAGAAATATTTTCTCTGTCCCAAAATAATTGTCATATTGGTCATTTCACACAAATTTAAAAAATGTAATAAATGAAAGAGAATAGTATTTTTACCAAGCTATCCTTGTTTACTATTGGTGTATTCGAATTATCATAAATGTAAAGAATAATAAATTGAGATTATTAATTAGAGGTCATAATTGAAAGATAAACATTAGAATTGCATTGGAAACTAAAATGCGACACTTATTTTGGTACAGATAATTTTATAAGATACGACCGTTAATTTAGGACAGAGAGAATACTAATTAAACCATTGAAAAATACATAAAAAGATAGTTTTTTTTTTTATTTTGGTATACGGCATTGCGCCTGACTAATCCAAGAGGACCAATTCCACCGTCTACTAGCGGGGTCCCGTTTAAAACTAGAGAAAAACTTTGCTCAAACATAGTTCTGGTTAAATCTGCACTAATCTCGTAACATAGTTCTGGTTAAATCTCTCTATTAAGAAATCTGGTGAGGATGTGAAGTCAATACAGTCCAATGTATATGACTTTCCTATCACCATTACTCCATCACTTATTGCTCAAACAATAAAGTGTGAAGAGAAAGGTAGTTGTGTTGAAGAATATATATTCAACAGTGTCTTCTCAAACCACCTTCTTCTAATTTATGTCAACTACAATAACCTCGTCAGTCCTGCTATTCATTCCAATTGCAAAAATTTGACATCAAGTTTTAGTGTCAAATCTCCATCCATGAGAGAAATAATTAGAAATGCTTACTTCATATGACAAACATCTTTTGTACTTTCTTATCCACAATGTCAAAATTAATCTTTCTCTTACTATTTTTAACTTCTTAATGGAAATGGTTGTGACCTCTTGCGAGGAAATAACTTTCCTTATACCATATAAAAGAGTTCTTTCTGAATTTTTCTCTCATTTTGGAATAGTTAAAAGGGTAAAAAGAGTAGGATTAACTATTGAAGTTGAGTGGAGTCAGAAGTTTAAATATGTCTAATAATTAGTTGTTAGTATGCTTCTCTGATTATCAACGAAAGAATTTGTTTTATCTTTTCGTTAACTATTGAAGTTGAGTGTAATCTTTTATATTGATAACAAAAAATTTGTGTTTTACTAATTAACTTAGAGAAAAATGAAGAAAAAAAATTAACAAAGAAAAAATGGAATCTAGAAAGGCGCCAAGTGAGAAATATTTTCTCTGTCCCAAAATAATTGTCATATTGGTCATTTCACACAAATTTAAAAAATGTAATAAATGAAAGAGAATAGTATTTTTACCAAGCTATCCTTGTTTACTATTGGTGTATTCGAATTATCATAAATGTAAAGAATAATAAATTGAGATTATTAATTAGAGGTCATAATTGAAAGATAAACATTAGAATTGCATTGGAAACTAAAATGCGACACTTATTTTGGTACAGATAATTTTATAAGATACGACCGTTAATTTAGGACAGAGAGAATACTAATTAAACCATTGAAAAATACATAAAAAGATAGTTTTTTTTTTTTATTTTGGTATACGGCATTGCGCCTGACTAATCCAAGAGGACCAATTCCACCGTCTACTAGCGGGGTCCCGTTTAAAACTAGAGAAAAACTTTGTCCACTAGTGGGGGGCCTGTTTAAAGCTAGAGAAAAGCTTTGTATGGACAGACCAAACACAAGAATTGATTGCATCTAATAGGATTCGAATCTGAGATCTTGAGAAAAGCATACTCTCAAGACTCAAACCTTCACCACTAGGCCAACCCTTGAGAACTAACAGAAAAATGTAGTAATTAAAATTCGAAGCATATTCTCTTTGTTTTTTCAAAAAACCGCGGTAATAGATTATATTAAAAATAAAATAGTGTTCCTTATAGATATATTTTCTTGGTTTTATGAATAACCGGAATAAAAAATCGTTAATATGATACTACCAAGACTATATACTTTTGATTTTTAGTATTTTGAGATAAAAGTTTTATCATAAAAAGTATTATTTATAATAATGTAGAGAAGCAGCCCATAAAATTTAGAGTAGTTCTCTTTGCCACAGGGCTGACCCAAAAGGAAGATACAACAAAAATGCATACTTGAAGGTTCATCATACTCCAAAGGAATCTCTAATTAGGCAAAGACGAGATCTAGAGCATTGTATGTTAAGAATCTTTCTTAATTCTCTCTGACTCGGTTAAAAGGGTATATGTATTCACCAATTTCAAGAGTTGTAAAAGTGAATATATTTTTGCCGGAACAGAGTGTTTTACCTTTAACATATTAAATGAAAATTAAAGTGAAACGATACATGAACAAAATTACATAGAGTTCAATTCGACAGAATTCTCAAGCTTCACAGTGTCATTTCAACCCAAGACAAAAACAAGTTAAAAACATAAAGAAAAAAAAAAGGAATGTCGACATCGAAAAGATATAAAAAAGAATAACTTTTGTCCATGAACAATTTTGCAACAAAACAGACTCTGAATTAAAAGACATGAATGACACCCTGAAAATTATTCATGATCCACCTGTCAAACAAAAAAAAAACGAACATTTTCACTGTCAATAAAAGGAAACTGCGAAGACCAAAATTAGTGTCGCGACACCTGTATGAATTTATTTAAGTATAGATAGAGCATTGAAAGTTTAAGACAAGTAGAGAAAAAATGGTACTTACAAAAAGTAAATTGAAGAAGATGAAGAATCACTTAGTGATAATGTAAATAGCATAGAGAATTCCAGGAAGATAGCCAAAAAGAGTGAGAATCAAACAGATCCAAAACTCCTCCTATGTTAATAACAAGAAACAATTACTTAAACATTAAGAAAAAATGAGCCTTGAGAAGAAAGAGGGTTTTACTTACTTCTAGGCCAAACCTTGAGAAGACACCAAGAGGTGGGAGAACGATGGCAAGAAGGATATCGACGAAGGTAGCTGTACCCATTTGAAAGGGAGAGAGAAAGTGGTAGAAAGGAAGAAGAGTGTTGTTGTTTTTGTTGTAAGGTATGATAAACTTAAAGACAGTGTATGTTATGAGATAAAGACGAATGAGGCGTGTAAGGAGTTGGGACCAGTAAATAAGAGTAGTAGTACTATATAGCTCCACTCAAAAGAAGATGAGAGAGTGAGAGTTGGACACTAGTGAGTTCTAGAGTGAGAGAATAAGGAGAGCAATAGAATCTGATTCTATTAAGTTATAAGCACCAACACTCTAAACCACACCGTCGTTGATATAAGGACACTTATAATAATTTTAAAAAATAAATAAATTAAATATGATTACAAATATTAGTGTAAGGTCAGTTCAATATTTTAAGGATTAAAACGAAATTTAAAATTAAATATTTTTTTAAAATTAATATATTTTAGGTTTTCTTAAGATGAAAAAGTATTAAATTATTATAATTAATTTTATTTAATATTTTATTTTTAATTGATAATGAAACTAATTCATCTAAACACTTTTCTCATTATTTAAAAAAAATCATAATTAGAAAACAATGCTAAATTATAAAAAAAAAATTAAAAGTAGATATAATTTCTCCTATCATCTTAAAGAACTAAAAAATTTATTATTCATAAATATGATTTTTTTTAAATTAATAAATTAAAGAATACACATTATAAATAGTTGTTATTATTATATCTTTTAAAATGTTATTATTTAATTGATATATTAAATAATTTAAAAAATATATTTAAAAAATCAATTATTAAAACCAAATAAATATAAAAGTAAAATTTTGAGGCCCTAGGCGGTAGTCTTGATAGCCTACCCCTAGGGTCGGTCCTGCCGACATGGACACAAACACAAACACATCTTTTTTCAGAGGTGTCGATATTACATAAGAATGTTTAACCTTATAGATACCCAATAACAATATATGGAATAGTTACATGCTACTTAAAACCTACCGACAAACATCACTGAGATAGAGATGGGGGATCATTTGCTAAATGAGGTAGAGTTGTAGAATTGTATATCGCAAAGAGAAGAAATAAGGTTGGAAGATTTTTTGGGTTTGTAAGATTTACAAGAGTTGATAATTAATAGTTGTTAGAGAAACAACTCGAAGGAATTTGATTTAGATCGTATAAAACATGGGTCGACATATCAAGATATGCAAAAACAGATGGAAAGTCATGGGAGAAAGCTAATGGTTCAATTATTAGACAAATGGAACCAATCAACAAAACTCAGTCAAATCGAAATAACAAAACAACTTTTGGTATGCAAAGGTCTAAAAGGCTCCAACGTAGAAGAAAGGAAGGCAAACCATATGTTGACACAATTATGAGCAATTTAAGATACCAGAGCAAAGAAGAAGCTTTTGAATGGAAACAAAAAGAATTCCAAAAGGATAACAAGAAGGGAGAAGTGAAAGGTGTTGCATGCATATCTTTATATGTGAGCGGGGAAGAAATTACATGGACTAAGAAAGGGTTTATCGGGTACGTGTGCAACATAGACGACATTCCAATGTTAGAACTGGGATTGGCAGACATAGGCATTGTCACATTAAAAATCTTTCTGCTTGGGGAAGAGAATGTGTTCTTTAAAATTGATGAAAATGAAGACTTTAGAGTTCTTGTGAAGGATGCAAAAGTTCTTTTATAAATGGTTCACTGTAGTTAGAAAATGGGAGTCAAGAGATGTGGCGGCAACAAGATTTATTGGTTTCGTATTTACGGTATATCAGTCCATGCTTGGGGAACGAAAGTGTTTTCAAACTTGATAATGCCTTTTGGAAGATTAATAAAGATGGATGTTAGAATATAAAATATGCAGAGATTGGATGTGGCTCGTGTTTTGGTCAGGACACTAATCCTCGAATTCATTAACAAGGCAAAGATAATCCAAATCAATAAAGAAAACTTTAATATCATAATAGCTGAAGAATTGTGCGAATGTGAGAAGTGAAAAATAGAAGTGGATATGTGGGAAAATTCATAGGTGATAAAGATTGTGATTCGATAAACTCATATGAAACCTTCATTCATCCATCATTAACCTCTTCTAAACACGAAAGGACAAAAAAGGTTAGAAGAAAAATTCTAGAACTTAATTAGGAAAGAGGAAAAGTCAAAATCATGTCAAAACGGTAGGCTCGATAAAGAATATGTATCATTAAGAGCGAGGAAGAAAAAATAGGTTTTGATTGAGAAAAGACAAATGAAACTTACCAAGAAAAAATAGGTTTTGATTATTGCTTAAGAAGAAACTTCTCAGTCCTACAGTTAGTCTTGGAAAGATTTTCCCCAAATTGAAACATTATTTTGATGGATTACATCGACAAAACATAAGCAAGTGTCATTTAGAGACTCATCAATCAAAATTAAAAACAGGGCTAGAGAAAGGGGGGTCTTATCAAACTCATCCTAAGAACAAGTTGTGTATATAGAGGTTGAATCTTACAAAGAAAGAAGAAAAAGAAAAAGAAGGTTAAAGATCATGAAGCCAACAAAAAAAAGAAAAGATGAAGAAGAAAATGATGTCTTCGAGTTGTAGGTTTGTTGATTGAAAGCACTTAAAAAATTAAGAAACTTCTAATCCATAATTGAATTTGGTAGAGAGTGAACTGGAAAAGAATATTTGGATTATTCTACATGGAGATGTAGTAGAGGTGACCAAAGATGTTTGAGATCTAGGAAAAAAGTTTGATCTGATCCACAAAGGCAAAGAGGGAGAAATCGTCGGAGTTGGAAGTAGGGGTGAAAGGTGGAAAAAGAGGTACCTAAGGTGATATGGACTACTTTTGGAATATGGCATAAATAGTGTGGCTATGAAGTTAATCAATTATTAGGGGTTTATGAGGTGTGGCTAAGAAGAAAGAAATAAAAAATTTAATTATTTCTTAGAAGTCAACATCCATGTGTATTCAAAAAACGAAGATGGAGGTGTTAGATAGAAAGATGTGTTGTTTGTTGTAAGGGACTAATGATTTTGAGTATGCTAGTAAATTTTCCAAATGGAGGTTATGAGGAATTCTGACATTATGGCTGTTATCTCAAATTTTCGATGAAAGCATGAATTACAAAAATGTGATAAGGATCATGTAATAATGGTTTTCGTAGAAAAATATAAATGGTCAGCTATAACTATGAAGATCTCGACGATTTTGATTTGTCAAAGAATAGTATTAACTTTGGTCGAAAGTAAACCAATGCCAGGGAGTTTGTTGGTTTTTGGGACTTAGTGAAATTCAGAGTTCCAAAGATGTTTTCTCTATGCAGTCTAATAAGGTGTAATTGGATAAGATCAGACAGTTACTCAAGGACATGGGAAGCCTATCGAAGGAGAAGGCTACATGAGAACAAGACATGGTGTGTTTTTCTTAGTCGACCGTTGCAGACGATTAACTTAGGATTAATATATAAGTAACGCTTACTTTATGTTTTAGGGGTCCGCGTATGTACAAAAAAAATTGTAAAACTCAAAGTATTTGTGTGTTTGTGAAAAAAGAGTCAAGAATGTACGTATATGCGTTCCACTTTTACAAATTAAAGCCTTTATTTTAGACATTTATTGCATTGAATTATTCTTTAGTCATTTTCTTTGCATTTGGATTTCACATTTAATTTCAGTCATTATTTTCAATTTACATTACATTTCGACCCTGATGTCGATCTTTCTTAAAGCTCATGATTCACACAAATATGTCCTAAGAACTTTTAGAGTTTAATCCCTTAAGTAAAATGAAACCTATTTTTGTTTGCTCAAGCTTAAATATGAAATTTGGATTTGAAATCCTCAAGCTTCGTCTTTGAAAAGTTGAGCCTTGTAGTCAATCGACCATTAGCCTCTTCCAGAGAATCGGTTTCAATTCCCAGGGAAAGAGCGACTTCAATGTGTTTGACACCTTTTGTGGCCTCTTGATCAATCATTTCTCTAGTGGGCAATGACTTTTCCCATGCAAGTTCAGCCTTTTGCTTTTCCAAATTTTTGATCTTTTTGGTAAGTTCAAGAATTTTAGCACGGTGTTGTGAAATCTATTCATCTAATAAAACCTTGTTGTCTAAATACTCTTGGAGCCGAGTTTCTAGCCTATCGACTTCCTTTTCAGACGCACCACTCAAGTTCCATGCTACAGTCATGGTCTCGTCCGTTTGCTAGAGTGAGGCATTGTAGATCTTCTTGATGTTGATGTCTCGGCAAGCGTGATAAAGTAAGCTTCAAATTCAAACACGAATTGGACCATAGGATCGAAGACCTTATGCTTTATAAGCTCAACCAATAACTTTCTAATGTCAGTTCCAAGTTGAGCATCTCCTTTGATGGCATTGAGGAGATCAACTTTAAAAATATTTTCTTTTAGCTGCTGGATCAAGAGGTTAACCGAATTTTCACCTGTGTCAACCAAAGAAGCATCAGAAGAATGGGAAGAGCTTGAGCCAGTCGAGTGTTTGCGGAGTTTTTTAAGTCTTCTAAAAAATTATGTAGGTTTCTTCCTTTTAAAGGCAATGATTTCTTCTTAGCTCATGGAGGTGTTGAATGAAGTGTCGTGAATAGTAGCTAGAGCCTAATTCTTCTCATCTGTGACGGGGTTGCCTTTCTCTTCTGCTAAAGCAGTCTCGACATCAGGATTAGCTTTCTATTCGTCCATTTTTTTTAGGATTTTCTTTTTGGGTCATCACAAGTTAGGTTATCTTGGACAAAGGCCATAGTTTCGTCCAGTTCTTAGTTTAGTTGGGGAGAAAGTTGTTCGACATCAGCTTATGCTTCAAGGTTTGTTTGTGGAGCAGCACCTACATTTTCACCGATTGACTAGTTTGTTGGATGAATAGACAAAATACTGGAATCAAGAAAATATGACCAATGGATGTGAAAAGAGGGTTTATGGGGAATCAAATGGGGAATACTTGTGGGTTCGTCCACCACGTTCTCGTCCAGCTTTGGTGGTTGCTAAAAAGAAGAGGAATGGTTAGTGGAAACTAAAGTTGAGA